TCGCCTGTGAGCTCAGAGCCGCGGAGGCACTGCTGCGGAGCCGCCATGGGGGAGACGAGAGCGCAACCATCGGCGGCGGGAAGGGGACGGCGGGGGCCGCCGGGTGCCCCCGAGGAGGCAAATCATCCCGCCGGGCTGGCACAAGGGGCTGAAATATCCCCCATCGGGGGGGGGGGTTTCCCACCTGGATTTGGGGTGCTGGGCTGACACCTCGCCCTGAGGAAGGACCAGGCTCTCCCAACTTGTGCCAAGCGTTTGCCGTGGGGCATCGCCTCCCCACAGCCACAGCCCGGCCTCCCCACCCTGCAGCGCTGGGGCTGTCCTGCCAGGATGGGCAATGCCAGGGACGGGAGCGTGGGCAAGGAGGGACCAGCCCTCGGGGCTCCAGGATGGTGCACGGGCGCCCCGCTGGGAAACCCAACGCGGAAACCTCCCCTGGGTCTCCATGGACGGCTGCATCTCAGGGGCTTTGAAGAGGTCGCTTCTTAGTGGCAAGGCGAGGGGCCAGGGACCCTGCGGCCCCTTTTGTGGGTGAGGGGAGATGGAGGCTGGAGAGAGCCCTGACCCGCAGGCAGCGGCTGCAGGCACAAGCTCCCGGGCACAGCCCTGCTCCAGGTCAGCGGGGTCCATGGGCATGGTTTCCCTCTCGGTCCCTCATCTGCCGTCTCCAACATTAAGGCCTCTGCTGGAAAGTCAAAAAAGATCAAAAAAGCACTTTTTGAGTGCCCTCTGGGTCCCAGTCCTGCAGCAGTCATGGCCCTCCCTCCCAAAATTATCTCAAGATCCCCTTGGGACATGGATGCCCCCTCACACAACCCAGCCAGCTCGCCCCAGCCCAACCAAGGCTGCTCCCCTCTGCTCAAACCAGGGGTCCCGGGGAGCTGTGGCACCCGGATGGAGTGGGCCCAGCCTGCCCCCTCCATGCCCTCTGCAGCCATCCCTATGGGGACCTGTTCAGGTTGTGGGGGGCGTTGCTTTCCCCAAAGTCCAGAGCTGCTGCTTGGGAGCTGCACAGGTGCCTCGCCAGGAAGTGTGCCGGCCCTCTGGCACCACGACAGGCCTTCCCCCTCTGCGCAGCAAAGGGATGAAGGTGCTGCTGAAATACCCTGCTCCTTCCCCGGGCGGGCAAAGCCACCAGGCACCTGTGCCCCCCCCTCGGCTTCAGGTTAGGCTTCACCCTCTCTGCCTTTTGCTTCCCAGTGCTGTCTCCT